AAAAATACAGTTAGAATCATCTTTGAACTTTTAAGACAATGTGAAGAGGAGTGAAAACATATTCTTCTTTACACCTTCTAGGAAGCATCGCATTAGGTTTATCCACTCAGACATTCTGTGTAAACATTAGTAATGTAATAAGTCTCTCAGTACTCCTTGTGCCAAAGCTGATCTCTTCAGGATCCCATGTCTTTGCATAAATCTCAAATTAGAAAGATGGAATTGAGTTCAGACTGCCAAGAGAAGAACATCAAGGGCAATTAAACTGCTCTGATTTTTTTTCCAGAAATGAACACTGCATGATTAGAAATTGTGTTGAAAGGTGGAACCTCAGTTCAGTAAAATGTTTTGTACATAATTCTAGTGAACAACTGTTCTGGAAAAGGGGGTAGAAAAGGAGCTGGCTGTATGTACTCTTCTTCCATGTTACTAGATTGTAGCTTGTTACCCAGGTGTATTTCACTGGTGAGAGTCATCGCTTACAGCTGGGAAGACTTTTTTTTTACACATCTATAATAAAATGGTTTTTAATTGTACCTCTACTTCAAAAACAGGCCAATAATCATGAAAAAAAAAAATCAGAAAGTCACTTAATACTCATGCTGAATATTTTTACATTTTGTTTAACTGCTTGTGTTCCAGCATATCTCTGTGGTAGAATGTGGGACAATGTCTAACTCAAAACTCATCTGGACGTGTATAATATTCAGTATGTGGCACATAATTTGCATTAGATTCAGTTGCAGACTTATGTTTGTGGGATGCCTTTGAGGTATTTGCTTATGGAAAGATGATGGGATAGTCTGCAAGAATAGGAAATGGAGCTTGAATAAAAGTGGAAGGCCTTCTATAGCAGAACAAAACTGGCATTCAGCCTAGGTTTATATTGAAATTATCTGAAATAATTTATGAGATGCTGTCCAGTAAACAGAGTTTATCATCTAAAGAGCCACAAAGAAAAAAAAATCATTTAAGAAAACCATTGTAAGGATAAAGTGGAAAAGAGGCTATAAATCTTGACTTGATGGAGCTGTTTTTCTAAAATTTGTCTTCCCAGGCTTAATGAATGATGATGGTTTGGGTTATTGCATGGACCTTTATCTGCAACATAAATTCTGAAATTGTATCTTTACCAAGCAGAGACAGAGCCAGGTCTTCACACTTTTTTTTTAAAGGAAGCCCATAATTTCTGCTACTCCGTATGAAATTGTCTCTTCATTAAGAAAAAACACCAGCTCTCTTCCTCTCAATAATTGTCTTTAATGTTTGACATGCCTTGTTGACCTGGTGGATGAACATGCTATTTCCTGTTACAATAATTCTTATCTTAAATGGCTATCCTGTGATATCCCAAATATTTCTCTTTACAAACACTATTGTACAGTAAATACAATGGGTGTTATTAGGTTTTCCAGTCACCCTTAAGGTTCTCTTTAGGTGTACCCTTCAGACAGCTCCACTGTCATAAACTGACTGCAGAACGACCAAATCCTGGTTTAGAGACCAAGGCAAAGGAAAGAAAAATGATCTCCAGGCAGCTAGTTCTCCCTGATGGTCCCATCATTTTGTTCAACCAGTTTTGATGCAATGTGAGAAAACAGAGAGTTATTCCAGGAGGCTGTGAGTAGTAATGTTCCAATACCTGAATACAAATATAGAGCACAAGAAACAGTCTAGAATGAGAAGAAAAAGGATATATCAGCACTGAAATAAGATAAGAAAGAGGAAAAAGCTAGAGTATGGGAAAACAAAATGTGTTTGTATGTGCAAGCAAATGGAGAAAACAAGAAAAATTTAAATAATCCAGGGTGAAGATCTGTTCATAACTCTGTAGATATGTTAACACTAATAAATACATTTTGCTTATATTATTCTGTTTTTCTTGGCAGCCCCTCTACCCCCAAACCAAGCATGATATAATGGCAATATGTAAAATACAATGATTCCTGAAGTAGAGTTTCTTTTAGGTATGATAAATATAGTGTCTGTTACACATACATGCTTTTGATATAATGATGATAATTTTATTCTGAGGGAAGAAAAAGATGCAGTAGTGCAAGTAACATCAAAGACAAGAGAATTCAATGTGCGCAGAACTTTCTGTAGTATTTTAGAGATTCAGTTTAGTAAATAGAGCTGGAACATCAAGAACTTGGATTGAGTTTGTGGAGATAAGCCTAAAGGTCTCTGGGAAGTCTACCCAAGTTTAGAAATTAATCCATTAAGTTTATGGTCATATGGTAAGGAGCACACCTATACATGGACACTTCACAAATTTAATTAAATGCTCTGGTAGAAATATCTTGATTGCTTCATAACAAGTTGATGAAGTAAGATGACACTGTTTATAGTAAATTGATATGGTAGTAAAAATTTGTTTTGTGTATCCAGACCTTTTCAAAGAATCTTTTCCAATAATCTGATCCGGTATACCAGAAGTTTTCAAAATGTCTTCACGCTGCTATTTCAGGTTGAGCTGTCACTGCTTTTCATCTTTCACACACAAAAGTCACAAAAATAGAAAAATGAAGCAAATTTGATGGGTTGTTAGAATGATGTTTGTGTTCACTCTATATTATGAATTAGATATGAATATATGTTGGAATACATCTTGAATATAAGTTGGAAATATTCCAGCTGTAGAAAAATTTCATTCCATGACAGGAAGCACCAGTGAAATTAGTCTGTATGTCAGGCTTCTGGGTTGTCATCATGATCTGAATCAAAGTCAGTAACAAAACTGGCCTCAATTGGTGTTGATATAACTCTGGTTTTAACGTCTGGAGACCCACCTTCTAAATGTTTTACATCTAAATCTAGAAAGATTGGAACATGTATGCATTTGGTTCTGTAATCTATGACCAGGAGAGCTTTGAAGCCTGAATTTTGAAGGAAAAGAGGATATGAAACCACATTTTTTTTTTTAAATGTTTTTAAAAGCCTACAATATCTCCTGAAAACACTGTGCTTTTTTTTCTTAAAAATCTAGATAATTTAAAGCACCATGGGGTGCATTCTTGAATAGTACATACGTAGAACAGTACTGTTTTTTCAGGTCTGTTAATAAAACTTGCTTCATATTAGTACCTTGTAGAGGACTGAAAGTAGGAGAGAGGGCAATTATGAAAAAGAAAGTACATAACACCATTAAGTACCTTTCCCCTTCTTCCCACAGCTTTTGTTTTAATTCCTTTCTTTCTGATATTTCCTTAATTTGCTACTTTATTTTCTGGCAGCTGTACTAAATGTTAGAGAGACAATACTTGTCCTAATTTCTGTGAGTCGTGTTCAGGTACTTCTTTCAGGCTACAAACATTTTGATGTGGATTTGTACAGTTAATTGCAGGGTTGAGTAACTAACCTACCACCACTACTGGAAGGCAGCTGGAAGTATGCGTTTCAAATTTGATCTCACTCTGATTTATAACCATACTTGGCTATATATATACACACTATTATTTTTGTTTTTTTGGTAATTATATGTATTTACATTTTAATAATATATGTGAGAAAAAAACTCCTCAGCTGTTTTTCATTCTAACATTTATTTATCTATAAATTTGCTTTATACTTCCTGGTATATTACTGTTGGGATTCTTTGCACATGAGGTAGAGAGGATAGGGCCAGGAAGACTGAAAGAGAACTTAAATGAGTGCAGTTCTCTTAGGTGTTTTAAATTAAATTCTCAAGTGAAGTTGGTGCATGCCTCAAATTCTCCCTCTTCTTCCTCTTCCAAAAAGAACACAAATGGTAAAAATCAACAACTACAATTACTATACTGCGATTTTTGAAAGACCAGAAATATTAAAGTGGTATGCAATAAACCAAAATATGAAAATCAGTTCCTATTCATTGCTCTTTGATATTAGCATTTTCAAAATACTTGTTTGGGTTTTTTAAAATTATTTTCAAACAATGTATTTTTGTACTCAGCATCATGTGATACTTGACAATATCAAAGTGACAGATAGATTAAATAGGAGGGGAAGAGCATGGGATGATCTGGGAAGTAAATGAGGAACATGTGAAAGTAGCATATATGGGACCAAGAATCTTTTCAGGTAGTTGTCAGCTGATATCACTAATATGAGATTTGCATGATACAGGAAGATCAGCAGAGTCTTAGCTTCTAAGCTGTTTGTAAACAGGTATATGTGTGCATGTCTGTGTTTAAAGCTATTAACAGAGCGGGGTTTTATGTAGTTTTTTTTTTGTATTTTTTTCCTGTTTTCCCTTTTCTTCTTGTTGCTGTTTAATATATTACAGCAAGAAAATTTCAAGACAGGGAAATGATCAACAGAGTTGATTGCTTAGAATCAGAAAAGGAAGCTAAAATGAGGTTTATAAGGCAGATTTAAAATAAAATAAATCAGTAAAGGAAACCAGCAAAGAGAAACTGGAGGTTAGTTCTGTGTCAGATTTACTCTACTATTAATAAACATTCTGGTTCCTTAAGACTTAACCAAATCTTGCCATCTGTTCTTCATCAGTCATGGAAGCCTTTAAAAGCAGAAAAATATAGGAATTTACACTTAACTTGATAGACAATGGAGAAATCCCTTAACATTTTTCATTTTCATGTAGAAAAATGGAATTGGAAAGTTGCTAATTCTGCAACAGACTAGGCTGGGGACTTGAACAGACAGTAAGAAAAAAAGGATGAGTATGAGGAAACTATGGCTAGTTGTGTTGATTACACAGATACTCTGCAGCTCTGTTGAGGGAAGGTTGAGAAAAAAGCCCAGATAAACCAAACCCTCTTACTTTTAGTTTGTTTTGTTTTGTTTGTTTGTTTATTTGTTTTTCCAAAAACGAAAAAAGAGAATTTTTATCTCATGTTTCATTTCAGATAATAGAGATCCAGTAGGAAGAAGGAAATAGTTAAAACTGTTAAGGAATGAATAAAGTGTCAGCAGAGGCAGGATCAAGGCAAGGATGAATTCTGGCAATGCTCCAGAGGAAGAAAGAAACAGTCATACACGGAGAGAGACATAAACATTGGGATATGAGGGAAAATAGCTCCAGTTCAGGAAAAAAAATAAGTGCTTAAACATGTTGGATTCTTTTTGTTCTGAGATCACAGAGTTGCTCCTTCAAACTGACTGATCTGCGGTAAGATAAAAGCCAACTCTTTCCTTACTTTTAAATAATGTAAGTTAAAAATCAAAAGATCTGTGCTCTGTTGTTTCTTCCTTACCCAACTCTTACCTCCACCTTCTCCCTTGAATTCTACAATTATAACTCTACTGTGAAATTTTGGTATTGAGAGAAACAGATATGAAATAAAATGTTAATGTCCTTTTGTTTGGATATTTAGTCCATTTAGTCCCTAATCCTGAATCAGAGGATTTTTTTTTTTTTTCATATGACAAAAGTAGGTAGTACAGTAGGAAATAGTATAATATTTTGTAAAATTTTCATGATTAGAAAGTAATTAGAATTAGAACTGTTGCTGAATCTTCACTTTGGTGTGCTGTGAACACACCAAGGAAATCATATGCAGAGTGAAATTGTGACATGGTGGTCTTGCTCCAAATGCTATGTTATCTTATTTCAGTAATGGAGAGATTCAATATGTTAGTTCCCGTGCTGATAATAGATGGAGTAGCAGAGGCTACCATGTTTCAGCAGCAGAATTATGTCTTGGTTTTCATCTGGAGACCAAAAGAGGAATGGTAGTGAACTTTAAAAGCTTTCTGAACATGGCAAGTTTTTCTAGTGGAAACTACCAGAATAAAAGCACTTAGCAGCCAAAGTTCTGAAAAATGTACTGGAAAATGGAAAAAACAAACCACTTCTGGTTTTAAAAAAAGTTGATTAGTCAAACCCCAAATCCTGCATTCTGTGCAGCTCAATTCTACACTATTGCCATCTGTTACAATAAAAAATTATATAGGTGCTTTGCTTAATAACTTATTATATTGTGGGGAAATATATTCAATTTACCTAAAACCACAAAGAAACAATTACATTTTACTTGTAGAAGTGAGAAACTTCTTTTTGGTAGGTTTCATTATCATGCAGTCAAGAGATTATCATGTTTGGGAAAGTCTTTCAAAATGCCTCCAGATTTTGCAACATTGTGAGGGTGGTAAGTAATTTGTTTCAATTTTTATATTTCTTCTGCCATCAGGCAAGGCTGGCTTGATGGATCACATGTCATATAGCATTACCTCTTATAGTCTTATAGGTTGAAATTGTTCTATATCACGTGGCTAGGAGAGTTTCAGTGAGCTCTTTGACTCATCTTTTAAAGAGACTGATGGAAATTTCTCTCCTTTCTCTTAACCAATTGCAAAATTTTGTTCTTCATCTTGTTGTGTCCCAGTTTACTTATGATTACATTAATAGTAACTATTTGCTGAACATTCTTTCTGAGATTCTTATTAAGGATTATGTTTCAGAAGCAGCATATTATTCCATCTTAATTCAAGATCAAGATATGCATTAGTGGCTCATAAGTATTGGCAAAGATCTCTGGGTCACTTGAAAAGGAAAAAAACAACTGTTTTTGTATAATCTGTAGCTGTAAATATACTTATAGTTTTTATCATTGTATAAGTGCTCAAAACAAGTTGAAACTACCTTGCTGCATCAACTCTGAAGACTGCTTCAGATCAGAAAGCCTGAAATGAGCGACATTGTTAATTCCCAGACTCTTTAATTTGACCCTGTCATGCCTCAGAAATCTTCATCTCTGGTCTTTCTCAAACAATATGATGTTCTCTTTACTTACATTAATGTCAAACACACCATTCTTCTTACATTAATATCCTACAAACAAATTGTGATATAAACTCTCACATTTCTGTGCATCATGGAACTGGAATTCCAAATATTATATGATACAAACAATATGGTAATTTATATGAAGAGACGACATTTTATGTTTAGGATTTGCAAAAAATGTACTGATCATCTGTACGGTTTTAATCTGCAATGACATTGTTATGGGACAGTAAATATGGATATAGTTTGATTCTGGGTTTTGAATACTTTAATTTTTTCATAAACCAAAAAATAATTACTGCAGGAGCAGCACATGATAATATTGCATCATGCTATGTATTTCTTCTGTGATAGCAGAAAGTGGGGCTGTTGATTCAGTCTACGAATAAAATGTCATGCAGTTCTAGGACAAGGAAGCTTATTGAGGAGAAAGCTTATCTACTCTAATGCAAGGTCGGACATGCTGTCATTACTTCTGCTGTTTTCTGACCTTGTGCTCAAAGCCTTGGAGCTACACAGTTCAAACCCAAGCTGCAGTTGAAGGCCTGTTCATACCCTCAACTGCTTAAGAACACATCTATCCATTACATGAAACTGCAATAGAGAAAAATAATATTTATTTCCATTTAATTATTTATCACTGATAAAGTTGTATATAAATACATTATTTCTGCATAGGGCTGTGATATAGCTTCCATTATCTCCAGAAAAGGTTTTATTAGTCTGTTTGATTATTCTTAGGCACAGAATTTCACTTTTGTAAAAGGAGACTATCTCTGATACTAGGTGAGGAATCTGTATAATTCTTTATTCTAGACACAAGATATTTTGAGAGTGGAATAGGAATAAAATATTAGCTATTTAGTGACTTCTTAATGACATTTTTCAGGCAATAACATTGTTTCAGCTGTTCAGAATATAGAATAAATGTATAAAACAAGAATGCTCCATAGGTAGAAGATAAATATATATATATGTATATATACACACACATACAAGTGTGTATAAATATGCAGAGTATTACATATATATATATATAAATAAATATATAAATAGAGCTAGTTAGAAGATAAATCCACAACTTTCTAATGTATCGGTAAGTCACAGAATGAGGGAGAGGGTTCAAAAAGGGACTAGTCTCAAAAGTAGTCTCAGGTCTATTAATAAAAGAAAGACTTCCTAATCCAGAGTATGTTGTACATATGACTTCAATAACATCTTAAATACACAAGTTTTTATCTGGAAATATCTGATCTGAAATTTTTGTAAGATTCACATAGAATTTTCCTAGTAACGAACTATAGGTTACCACACTGCAATTTGATTTTCCTTCTACTTTATGGAACTGATTTTCTTCCTATTCTTATATTAAGTAGCAACCTGATTTACAGCTGACCCTGTACCATGCTGTTGTTTTGGCATGTGGTATTCTCAGCTTGAGTGAATCAGTATATATTTACATTGGCATTATTACCATTATTCTTCTTGACTCTTACTGAGGCCATTGATCTAGGTAAATTGATGTTTAGTAACCAATGAAGGCTGGCACAATAGTTTTGCAGAAGTGTACAGTAAACTGGAAAGGTGCAGTTTCCCATAAGGCTTAGATTACTGGTAGTAAAATGCTGACCACATCCCCTTTTCTGGTCCTGTAGAGAAGTCTGTGGTTTTGCCTTTCCAGAAATGGTCAACTTTAGACTGAAGCAGGAGCAGCTGAGTCTATCTGAACAAAGTGTGAGTTAAAAGGGAAGGATTTAACTAGCAAGCATGTTTCATGCTCCGGAGTCCTCCCTCCTGGCAGACATCTATCATTCTCTTGGCTAGGTTATTTCTGTGACTTGAGTTTTCCCTTGATTTTTCTCAACCACTATGAATTATATCCCCACATTAACAGTCTTATGCTGTAGGGCTTTGGATGAAACATCTTTTTTTTTGAGAAACATGTTTTTGATAATTGCTTCAAACTGAGCAACTATTTTTTGGGTTTAACAATCTGTAAACTGCATTTTCTCTGGCTTTTTTGTGTGTTTTGGAAAAGGCAAGGAAGGCACTCTCCTGCTGTCTGACCACATAAGAACAAACCTGAAGTGTAACTAAGTATTGAAACACAGTCCAGAGGTCCCTCTGCAGAGGTAACAGATTCTAAAGGAAGAGTCACTTCTCATGTGATCCAGGGAAAAATACGTTGCACACTTTTAAAGAACAGCAAGACTTCTCACTTTTCACAATTACTAGGCTCATCTTGACACTTTCAGCCTCTTTGAGAGTTTTCTATGCCACTGTCCAGCCCTACATGCAGCCTGGAACAAGATGTACCTTGCACAGAATATCAACATCTTCTCCATCATTTCTCCCCATCTTCTGCAAATACTTTTATGTCAACTCCTGACTGTCAGAAGCACCTGGAATTACCACTGGAAATAACACTTCTAGGTGATAGTTATTACTTGATTGACTGATATAACTGCATATAGAAGTAATTGGGTGAAGTAGGAAACAGTTTTCCTTTTATCTTCTCAATAAATTAAAAGGTCAGCTTTGAAAGTTCAGACTTGTAATCAGTGAGGACATTCTTGTCTGGTGTTTATCACAGTAAAAATATTATAATGTGATAAAAGACTGTTTTCTCGATGGGCAAGATCCTGGTTCGTGCTAAAAAGCTGTAGATTGCTAAGAAGATGGTATTTTGTGTATGCCTGCAATAGCTACATTTTCAAAAATAGCTACAATCTGCAATTACAACATCAAAATTATATAAATTGGAGAAAGATTTTTATTTGTGCTGCAGAGCTTCCTAGATATAATTTTCAGAAGTACGAGCTAAAAGCTTCTGGGATTTCTTTGTGACTGAAGTCATTTAGGTTCTTGGAAATTTCACTTGCTATCTATTTTTTCGATGTGGCAATAAAGGACAATGTGATACATACAGGGACAAGGTGGAGCTGGGAGGATGAAGTATGGACCAATTAGAAGTTCATTAAATGAGCTGTTAGGTATCTCAGACAAACCAAGTAACCCCTTCTCATTGTAAAATGAAAATGTAAATAAATATCACAGCTTTGTAAATAGTAATAAAAATACATTATGTAAATATTTCCTCTGTCATAACTCTCTGCCCTTTAATTAATTGTGCAGAGAGGTTTTTTCTAAGCTTCATTCACATGTGAAATGCCACAGGGTTCCTCAGATAAAATACTGGTTGTGCAGGTCATATATGAACTAGTCAGGCCTGTATCTGTACACAAGAACCTTACATATTGAAAACATCAGATCATCAGTACATCTTTAGGTACTTGCCAAACTACTACTGACAGATACGTTTAACTAATGATGGATCCTCAGATGGAGAAAGCTCCAGAATTTATCAGGATGTTATTCCTTAT